AAAAAAAAAAAAAAAAAAATCCTTGTTTGGTTAGTGATTTTAGACCCATCAGTCTTTGTTCTGTTGTGTATAAGGTCATTGCCAAAATCCTAGCTAATAGGATCAAACCTGTGCTTGGTAATTGCATTTCCAGTTCTCAGTCTGCTTTCATCCCGGGTAGACAGATTCTTGATAACGTTATTATTGCTTCTGAGTGTATCCATTATCTTAACTGCAAAAAGTAAGGAAAAAAGAATTTCATGGCTCTTAAGCTTGACATGTCGAAAGCTTAGACAGGGTTGAGTGGGGATTCCTTGCTAGGGTTTGTAAAAAAATGGGTTTTGCCTCTGAGTTCATTTCTTTGTTATTGGCTTGTTTATCATCTGCTTCTTTTGCTTTTAATGTCAAAGGGTCTGTGAAGGGTTTTGTTAAATCATCTCGGGGGCTCAGACAAGGGGATCCCTTATCCCCTTACCTGTTTTTTATCATTTCTGAAGCTTTCTCTAATCTCATCAAATGTGCTTGTGCTTCTGGGACTATAGGGGGATTAAAATTTGCAGAAAGGCTCCCATTATCTCTCATTTATTTTTTGCTGATGATGTGCTGTTATTTTGTGAAGCTGATAGTAAACATGCCTCATTGATTCAGAATTTTCTGCTAGAATATGGGTTAGGGTCAGGTCAAAGAATCAATATGGATAAATCTTCCATTTTCTTCTCCAAGAACACAACTATTAATATTAGGAATGTGATCTGTAGTTCTTTTGTTGGGATTTCTTGTGTAAAAAGCACTAAATATTTAGGACTACCATTAGGAATTGGGAGGAAAAAAAAAGAGATTTTCAGATATGTGAGTGATTGTGTGAGAGAGAGAATTAGCAGCTGGAAAAATATTTTTTTGAGTGAAGGGGGAAGAGATACTCTTATCAAATCTGTGTTGGCTGCATTACCAACTTATGTGATGTGTTGTTTCAATTTTCCTATTGGTGTTCTCAAAGACATTTGCAGGGATATTGCTAACTTCTGGTGGGGGAGGGAATGAGAGTGGGGGTAATAGACTTCATTGGGCATCTTGGGATAAACTGGCAAGAAGCAAAGAGGAAGGTGGGTTAGGTTTTAGGGATCTTGTTGATTTTAATTCTGGCTTGCTAGTGAAACAATTGTGGAGGGTCATGTCTAAACCTAATCTGTTGGTTAGTAGGGTTATGAGAGGGAAATATTTTTGGAATCAAACCTCAATGAAGTTAAACTGAGAGGATCTGATTCTTGGATTTGGAGGTGTTGGATGGGGGTGAGAGAGTTTTATAAGTTAGGGGCTAGATATCAGGTGGGGGATGGGAAATCCATTTCAGTTTGGGAATCCCCTTGGATTCCTAACAATTCCACTTTTAAACCTGGGAGGGGATTTACTTGGGACAGGGGAAAAATTGAGAAAGTGAGTGATTTGATTTGTCAGGATTCAAATGAGTGGGATAGGGAGTTAGTCCTTCAAACTTTTAACCCCATTGATGCAGGGCACATTCTCAGGATACCTATTAGTCATTGTGGAAGAAGAGATGAATTGATATGGCATTGGGATCCAAAAGGTTTGTTTACAGTGAAAGGAGCATATGAAGCAATCAGAAGATACAAAAGAGCTCAAAAGCAAGAGGAAACTAGTAGTGGATGCCAACAAGAGAAAATGAGGTGGAAGATAACCTGGGCTTTGCCTATCCCTCCCAATATTAAACTTTTCATCTGGAGATGCTATCATGGATACCTAGCAGCTAAAGTGCAGTTGGCAAGAAAGGGCATAGAATTGGATACACAATGTGAGCTGTGTAGAGAGAAAGAGGAGAACATCGAACACATGTTGGAAACTGAGTGGCTTATGGTGGGAAAATCAAGAAGACAAACAGATCAGCTTCAAAGACTGGTGGTTTCAGCTCAGTAATATTCAGGTGAAGAATGCAAGAACAGAAAGATTAAGTTTGGCTGCATCTGTACTGTGGAACATATGGAGCAACAGGAACAAATGGACATTCCACAAAAAGAGAGACACTGACATGCAAGTGGTGAACAGAGCTAAGAAGAAATGGCTGAAATATATAACTGCTCATGAGGGAGGAAGAGAGCAACAGGTTCTTAACCAGAGCTCAAAATCAACCCAGAAGGAGAAATTTTCCAAGGAGGTAGGACAGGTTAGCTTTTCTGTCAGTGCCTTACACTCTGAGAGGGTTGGGATGAGCTTTGGTGGAGTAGCTGAAAAAAATGGACAAGAACTTTTTACTTGGTCTTGCATTAAATCAAATAAAGAAGACTACAAAATTGGGATGTTACAGGGAATAAGATCAATTCTGCAGAATCTTAGAGCTTCAAGGGAACAACATATGGCCTGTTACTTACCAGACTTGCAGATGGTCAAGATGCTGAGAAAGGAACTGATTTGTGAGACCAAGTTAAAGAGCATTTGCTTTGATATATGGTGGTTATGTGAAAATGGGGGAAATTGTGTATTTGTTTTTGATCCAGGTGTGTCAAATGGGGGCAATACGAGTGCGGTCCCACACAGGTGAAGCGCACTACAAGAGGGTTAGCCCAAATGAAGCCCAAGTGAGGTTCCATCCCAAAACCAATTGGTAGTAGGAGGAGTAGCCCACTAGGCTTATAAGTTAGACCTATTTACCCTATCAAATCAATGTGGGACAACTCACAAGTGACATTCTAACACGCCCCCTTACTTGTGAGTCCTTCATCAGCCCACGCCTTCAACTAGGCCGGGTATTTTTTTTTTATTTTTTTTTCCATAGCAGGTCCTAAATTAGGCCCTCTCTGATACCATGTCAAGACCGTGAAATATTTGAAAGATATAGAAAGATGGCACACCCCATTGTGGTGTCCTCATATTATTATCTCATATATATATACAACAAGGCCTAGGGTAATTACAAGGAATTACTTTCCAAGCAAGATACCTAAAACTAGGAAAATATACTATCAAAAATACAATCATAAATATACCAAATATACCAATATACTAACACCCCCCCTCAAGTTGGAGCATGAGGATTTCGAATGCCCAAGTTGCCAAGGAAGTGATCAAACTCGTGCTTGCCCAAGGCCTTTGTAAATATATCGGCGAGTTGCGAATGAGTGGAGACATGAGATGCAGTGATGAGACCCTGGACAAGGGCATCCCGAAGAAAGTGGCAATCAACTTCAATGTGCTTGGTGCGCTCATGGAAAACAGGATTTGCCGCAATGTGTAGAGCAGCTTGACTATCACAATGAAGACGCATGGGCTGAGAATGATTAACACCAAGACTTTTAAGTAAACCTTTCAACCACTTTAATTCATACGTAAGCGTAGCCATTGCACGGTATTCTGCCTCAGCGGAAGATCGAGCGACAGTATGCTGCTTCTTGGTCCGCCAAGAGAGAGGAGAGTTACCAAGTTGGACAAACCAACCAGTAAGTGACCGACGAGTAGTAGGACAAGTTGCCCAATCGGAATCACACCAACCATAAAGTTGTAAGTCACAATCAGTCCGAAGAAGGGTACCTTGGCCCGGAGTACCCTTCAAATAACGAACCACACGCAGGGCAGCGTCCCAGTGAGGCTCACGAGGCTGGTGCATGAACTGAGAAAGCATGTGCACCGCATAAGAGAGATCAGGACGAGTAACCGCCAAGTAAATCAGACGGCCCACCAAACGTCTGTATTTCTCTGGGTCAGAGAACAAAGGACCATCCGCCAAAGGAAGCTGATGGTTCTGTTCCATTGGAAAATCTGCCGATTTCCCACCCATTAGACCAGTCTCGGCCACAATGTCAAGCGCATATTTCCGTTGACACAAAAATATGCCAGATGAATTCCGAGCTACCTCAATACCAAGAAAATATTTGAGAACGCCGAGATCCTTCATATGAAAGCACTGACCCAAATAATCCTTAAAAGTCGCAATAGTGGCCGGGTCACTTCCGTAAATAATCAAGTCATCAACATAAACTAGAACCTGCAAATCCAGACCGCCCCGATAAAGAGTAAATAAAGAATAATCCGAAAGTGACTGTTGAAAACCATACTGCTTAAGAGCAGTACCAAGCTTGGCGAACCAGCACCGAGGAGCTTGTTTCAAGCCATAGAGAGAACGCCTGAGTTTGCAGACATCACCAGAGCGTGGAGAGGAAAAACCGGGAGGAAGTTTCATGTAGACCTCCTCGTTTAGATCACCGTGCAAGAAGACATTGTGAACATCCATCTGATGAACTTCCCAGCGTCGTGCTGCTGCAACGGCCAAAAACATTCGAACAGTGACCATCTTCGCAACTGGAGCAAAGGTCTCCTAATAGTCGATCCCTTCAATTTGCCGGTTACCAAGAACTACCAATCGAGCCTTGTACCGCTCAACTGTTCCATCAGAGTTATAATTGATGCGGAAGATCCATTTGCACCCAATAGCATGTTTGCCCTCAGGAAGGGACACGACATCCCAAGTATGATTGTCTTCCAATGCTTTGATCTCGAGCTGCATGGCAGAACGCCAACGACTATCCCGAACTGCCTCTGAGTAAGATTGAGGTTCGGTAGAGGAAGATATAGCTGCCAAGAATGTCTTATGCCCCGGCGAGAAGGAATCACAAGAAACATAATGAGCAAGAGTACCCGAGGATGATGACGAAATCGAGGAGTCAGCAGGGGAAATCGAGGGACAAATAGTATGAGAAACGTAATCAGTGAGCCGAGAAGAGCGATGCTTGACCCGATTACATCGACCAAGTAACTCAGCCTGGGGGGTTTCAGTGGTACTCCCCCTGCCCTCATCACTAGCAGAATTTCCAGAATTTGACGGGGCAAGTCCACTTGACACAGCCGAACCCCCCCTATCCTCCTCACTAGTAGAATTCCCAGAATTAGACGGGGCAGGTCTTCTTGACACAACCGGGGTCGCATCATCATCGTTCGTCACAACAGGCCAAGTGTCAATATGAACCGGAGATGTCGAAGGGGAAGATGACTCCATATAAAGAAACTCAGATTCACAAAACTCCACGTCACGAGAAACGAAGAAAGACTTCGCCTCCAAGTCAAAAACACACCATCCTTTCTGACCAGTCGGGTAACCAACGAAAATACATTTTCGACTCCGACTCGCAAACTTGTCTCCATGACGATTTTGATTATGAACGTAGCACAAACATCCAAAGACACGAATATGAGCATAGGGCGGAGGCCGATTATATAAGATTTCATAAGGAGTTTACCAGACAGAACAGGAGTTGGAGTACGATTTATCAAATAGCCTGCAGTAAGCACACAGTGACCCCAGAATTCAAGGGGAAGCTGAGCTTGAAAACGCAGGGCCCGAGCAACATTAAGGATATGTTGATGCTTACGTTCAACTCGCCCATTTTGCTGAGGGGATCCGACGCATGAGGTCTCGTGTATAGTACCTTTGGTACGAAAATAATCCCAAAGACAAGTGAATTCAGTACCATTGTCACTACGGAATACCTTAACTAAGGCACCGAATCGTCTTTTCACCAAAGCAAAGAAAGCGAACAAAGTATTAGAAACTGCAATTTTATCATTCAGTAAATAAATCCATGTGGCACGAGAAAAATCATCGACGATAGTCAAAAAATACCGTGCTCCACTAAAGGTGGGAACGCGATATGGACCCCACAAGTCACAATGTATCAAATCAAAACAAGCACTGCTAATACTACGACTAACAGGAAAGCTAGCCCGAGAGTGCTTAGCTCGAAACATATATCACAGGCCTTATTGGAAACTGAAGCACTGGAGTTAACAAAAGGAAACTGAACTAAAACCGAGGACGAAGGATGACCCATTCGTCGATGCCACAA